CCCCAAAACCCCAAAACCCCAAAACCCCAATAGTAACTTTTTATCAAGAATTGGTATGATAAATATTAAAAATAAAAATTTTCTAAAATCCATAAATATTCAGCCTATTATTAAGATTGATTAAAATTAATTCAGAGAGTGCTTTGTTCTAATAAATACTTAATTTTCTTTATATGATATACATAATCTTCGGCCTAGCCTTCGCCTACCTGCTCTATGAGAAGGTATTTAAGTTTTACTATTTCTATTGGTACTACAAGAGACAAGGTATATAAACCACCGATATGCCATTACCTTTTGTTGGAAATTTACTGAAATTGAAAAAAGTGTTCGATACTTCAGATAAATACAGTATGGCTCCTTTCGAGGAGTATTGGAAAAGATAGTTTGGGGAAATCTTGCCTCCAGTTTTTAGTGACCACAGAATACCAGAAGGCACTGTTGTGTTTTCAGATCCTCTCTATGTGAATGATATCTTCACGACAAAATCAAGATATATGGAAAAGCATCCAAAGTTCCACAGACTTGTTTGGAATCTATTCAGAGATTCTATTTTCTTTGTAAAATCCACTGAATCTTACAAAGGAAGCATCTCTCAACTGCCTTTTACAAGGATAAGATCAACATTATGATAGGTACTGCTATTGATGTTACAAAGCACAGAGTAGATCAACTAAAGCAGTAAATCAAGGAAAATGGAGGGAGTCTTGAAATGAGTCTCAATTTGTTTGTCTAGGAAGTTATCGACGATGTTATCTAAGCCTGTGTATTTGGACAAAAAAGTCTTGAAAGAAAGCTATAGTACAACGTATATGGAGAGGAAAAAGAGTTATCTGCTGGTACATGCTTCAGAATTGCGTTCCACACATAAATAGATAGATATATTAAGGTTTTCAGGCAGTTAACTGATTTCTTTGACACCATCGCTGTTGACAAAAATGAAAAGTTAATCTTCGATAATGGTAAGAGACTAAGAACCTATGTTTCTTAGATGGTAATCACGAGAAGAGAAGAAATGAAGCGGCCTAATTTCAAGTCACAGGGAGACTTCTTGACTTTGCTGTGTGAGGATTCATACTTCAACGACGAATCCATTATTACTGAGTGCACAACCTTTTTGGCTGCTGCAAACGTCACCAACTCAATAACTGTGACAAATGCTATGTTCTATTTAATGAGAGATAGACATATTTTGCAGAAGGCTAGACATCAATGCATTACTTAATTCAAGACAACTCAAGAAGAAATTAAAGAATTCTCAGCAGATTAATGGAAAGCTGTCATGAACTATGATGGTTAATATCCCTTTACTGAGCAAATCATATTAGAATCACTTAGAATCGACCCACCAGTGACAATGTCTACCCCTCACTATTTTGTAGAAGATACAATTATTAACGGAGTTAAAGTCCACAAAGATTCATAATGGCATATTAATATGACTGCGCTTCATCATAATCCTAATGAATGGAGAGAGCCAGAAAAATTCATTCCTGAAAGATTTGATCCTGAATCAGAGTACTATCTGACTCCATCAGGGAAAAAGAGACACCCAATGTCATTTGCTCCATTTTTCGGTGGCAAGAGAATTTGTCTTGGTAAGACCTTTGCTTAGCATATTCTTACAAGTATTCTAACTATTCTTATCAATCAGTTAGATTATGAGCTTGCTGATGAAAGTCTTTATCACAGTAAACCTTCGAACACATTCTTGCAGTAGGAATTTACCTACAAAGTTAGAGCTAAGGAATTCTGATGATTAACTTATAACTCAAACAACTTATTATGCTTTTGTTATAGAAGTGATAAAATTATGGCGAGATATTATCGCTAGCTTAGTTTATTTAAATAAAACGATTGAAACCATTAATGTCATCAAATATACTGTATCATTAATGTGAATTCCATTATTTTCTTTATCTTTATTATTTACCTATTTTGGAGTAGTGGGGTTTTGGGGTTTTGGGGTTTTGGGG